GGACTGGCATTTACCATTATCTGAGCAGGCAGGTGCTCATTGTTGCCCTCGTTGTCTTGCTGGTTGGAATCCTTTCCTTGTGGCTGAAGCAGGAGGCACAGGGATGTGCACATCCCCCTACCCTCCATGGCCTATCTGACACAGTCCTTCCCTCTGATGCGGTGCTGTGGGGGGCGTGGATGCTCCCTCCACAGAGAGGAGGATAGAGGATTGATTTATATATGGGAAGGAATAGATGAATCCTGAAGGCACCTCCCCAATGAGTGTTCCCATCACAGATTCTTCCTGATACTGAACCTGCATTCAGGGACAAAGGCCTTTGACCATCATTTGTTCTCATGGCTGCAACGGGAACCCCCCATGAAAGGGACTGAGGGGAGAAAAGGCTTGGAGATGCCAACCCCTCATGTTTGGTTGTTAGGGCCTCTGATTCTGAACCCCAGAAAGGACATAGGAAAAGAAAAAACACTTTTTATCTATCCTTCAGGCCGCTGTCAAATAACAAAGTAGGTGAGTGTCAGTTGCCAGTTGTATTATGTCCATTTCAACTTTGTAAAGCATGGCACAGTGGGTAGCATTGTACTAACTCTCAGTTTTATCAGTTCTGCCCTTTTCATTTGGTCAGACTTAAGAAAGAGAAGTTCATTCATTCCATCTGCCATTACATTGAGTGAGAGCACAACACCTGTGAATATGAGAATTAAGAATGTAAAATACATCGGCAAAATATGTTGAAATATTAATGTTGCTGTATTGGGTTAAATAAAATGTGTTCTTGCTCCCTTTTGCTTTATTTAATGTTGCTCTGAGAAATTTTTTAGTTACACATGTGGCTTGTGATATATTTCCATTGGGCCTCTTTGCCCCACCATGTAGCTCCAGAAGGCTCTCCTCTCCCTGCTTCTTTCTTCCTCTAGATCTGTGTGGCTCGATACAGTAGCCTCATGTGGAAATTTACCTTTAAATTAATTGAAATGAAATAAAATTTTAAATCCCATCTCTCAGTCACATTAGCCATATTTCACGTATGGTGAGGAGCCCTCATATCACACAGCACAGACCATTTTCAGCACCATGGAAAGTTCTACTGGACAGAGGTGATGTAGGTGGTAGGTAGATAGGACCAAACCAGAGATGGAGCGTGAATGCCTAAAGTGTGGAAGCGTTTCCATGGTGCCTAACTCTGCAGCACATCATCCTCACATCCATCTCCTGGACGCGGGTCTCTTCCCGCCTTTGTTAGGCTTGTTTACGCACACTTATCTCTCCTTTTCTCCTGCTGGGGCTGCGGTGCACTTATCTCCCTCTGAGCACACTTCCCCCCCCCCGCCCCCTCCCCCTCCGCATGTGAACAAGGGATCTAACACCGTGCTTTGTACAATGTAGGTAATCAGTAAATATTGTTAACCAGTTGAAGTAGCAATTCCTAGGAAGCCACTGGAAATATGTGGATGAAGCTAGAAGGAGATATATAGTGGCTGGTAGCAGAGGAGAGAGAGAGAGAGAGAGAGAGAGAGAGAGAGAGAGAGAGAGAGAGAGAGAGAGAGAGAGAGAGAGAGAGAGAGAGAGAGAGAGAGAGAGAGAGAGTCAAAGCCAGACTCCCAAGGAAGAAGGAAGAGGACCTGGTAAAGAGGCAGAAAGGAGGAAATGGGGACAGTGGTGACCTAGGGATGTCACTAAAATCCCTTTGCCTGCCCCACCAGTCCCTCACGAGCAGCAACTAGAGTTATTGCAAGGGAATTCACAGGCTTAGGCAACAGCTGCAGAAAAAGGGCAAAGGAAACCCAAAATATTACTATGTGATAAATAAACATGCAGGACCCATACATGAGAAGTTGAATGATCTGAGAATGAAGGGTCCAGTGAGGAGAAAAATGAAAAGTGCCCCCTCCCTGGGCCAGCTGGTTTGAGTTACATTTCACATGTGCCGTGTGAGTTCCAGCACCCTTCTGAAAGCAGCAGAACTGCACATTGGTTTTAAGGCTCCCTCTCGAATAGGAACGTCATAATGCTTTTTAATTGGGGCTGATAAAAATGTAGCATTACTTGTAGGTTCCTGAGAGAAGTGAGTTGTGAAATTGGGTTTTCATTAAACCTAATGATGGAAAATTAAGCAAAGTGCGTCGGGTGAAATGGGCTGTGATAAAGGCACCACGTCTGCATTATCGGAGGTTAATAAGGGAATAGGTGAGGTAGGATGCGTTGGAAAAAGAGTCCAACTAGTTGAATTAATAAACCTTGAAAATCCCTTGGTTCTGAGTCTTCATAGCATCATTAGCTCCAGCATTGACATTAGTACAAATGTTAGAGCAACAAAAGTTGCTCAATTTCAAATGCATTTATTTTCCGTTGCAGCGTTGGTTTTGCTGACACCAAGTTTACCGTCTGTCTAGCCATGTGTTTATGGAAAATATTCATATTGGTAGCTCTTTGGTTTTGGAAACATTTGGCATCTCACAAAAATTGCCAGGTACCCATTGCCAAGAAGCCTGTCTCTGCCAGGCAGCCAGTCTCCCAGGCTCTGCCAGCTAGCTGGTCTCCCAGGCAGCCCGTGCCTCAAGATCTTGGGGAGACCATGGGTCTCTGAAGACATCTGGGGATGGTGGCTTAGGTAGGAGACATTCACCGGGCTCCAGCTCTGCCTCTTCTGGGGAGCAGGGCAGGATCCAGGGGAGCAAGCTCCAGCACTCTGTTTCTCCATCCCCAACTCTCTCCTCCTCCCAGACCATCACAGGAGTGGTGCTCCCAACATCCCTCATGTCCATGGCAGCTGACATGACAGCATGACGAAGTAGTGGGATTTAAAGAAGGATTCTTCTTCAAACCCTTCGACAGCTTCCCACTGGCTTGGAGATGCTTGCACATGCACAGTCTTTCTAGACGGGCCCACACAACACCTCTCACAGCTTGTCCCATCACATTTTTGCCCACCATCTTACTTCCTTCCTATCCACCTCCTTGCTCTTACCTGGCTTCTCCTGCTCCTGTTCTTGTCTCTTTTCCTACATAACCATCAAGTCCTGAGGGTGGAATCTGCGTTGCTCTGTGCACGGCCAGTGCCACCCTGAGTCCCTGGCATAGAGTGGGTTCCCAATAAGTCTAACTCCTCATCACAAGGGTGTGATGGGTGGAGAAGGGAAGCAGCTGCCACGTTTGCCAAGCACTACGTTTAAGCAATGTCAGGGAGGATGAGTTACCTGTTATTTAAAATCCAAGGAGAAAACATAATCGGTATTTTTATGTGCTGACATCTCACCTAGACCCTTCTTCCTTGTGCAGAAAGCTGTTCACTAGATCTTTGTGTTGGCAATTTTTTCCTTCCTGGGAACAGTGTTTCTCAGGCTGTCATACAGAAGGAGAGCTCACCTTCACATGCCTGATGGGTTATTGTGACATGAGGCACAACCAAGCTGAAGGAAACATGGTTTTGAAATGACGAGTTTCAGAAAATCGGAACATAGGTTAAGCCTCCCAGGAAATGGGTATGGCATAGGCCAAGGGGGGTCCCACAGGGGTGCCTGGCTGAGCCTAAACACACCTGGCTGAGATACATCAAATCTGACTTCTCACCTCATACATGCCACAGACAGAAGGTCCAGGGTATAGACTTCATGTCGTTGGGAAAAAGTTGGGCAGACCAACCCCAGAGGTTCTGGGGAAGATAAACTGGCCCGGAAAGACCAGCAAGGAATGCTGAGCAGTGAGGTGGTAGGACTAGAAGGTGGTTGTCCAAGGGGAACAGAGAATCTCAAATCCAACCTCAGTAGGTGTCAGTTCCCAGGGCCAAACTAACAGAGGACAGTGAAAGCAATGCACTGGGTGTAAGATTACCACCAGGAGGAAATACCAATCTTTTATCAAGGAGGGATGATATGAAGGAGATAATGAGCTTAGGACCCAGACCTGGGAGAAGTAAATGGCAGAACTAAAGGAGCAAGTTCGGGCCTCTCTACCTGCAAGGTGGGTTCCGTGACCCTCCTGGAGCAAGAGTGTTCAGTGGTGGGGGAGCTGGCCAGGAGGCAGAAGGTGGTCACTGCTGTAGAGCCACAGCTGGAGAGAAGCTGAGAGGTCAGGGACCCTGCTGGGGCTGGGCTCCAGTTCCTTCCTCCCTGAGTACCACCCAACAGAGACAAACTGGTAAAGACACCAGGTCCCGGGGATGTAGGCAGTGGATCCAAAGCACACACACGCACGTGGCCCCGGTCTCCAGGATCTGAAACACATACATATGGCCCTGGTCTCCAGGACTCTGAGGCTTTGCAGGCAAGAACCCTGCTTCCTAAACAGGAGGATGCTCCCAGTCTCTAGCCTGCTGGCTTCTCAGTGGTTCTGATATTGGCCAGGATTGGTCAAGACCACCCTGATGAGCCTCAAGGAAGGCCTGGGATAAGATGGTGATGGCAGCCAACCTGGACTTGGTCTTTTTTTAAATTTCTTTATTAATTAAGGTATCACATATTTGTCCTCAATCCCCATTCCAATCTCCTACGCCCCCTATTGTCCTCGATCACTGGTTAGGCTCATATGTATGCACATAAGTCCTTTGGTTGATCTCTCTCTTTTATCCCCACCCTCCCTTTGAGTTTCAACAGTCTGACCCATGCCTCCTTATCTCTGGCTCTGTTCTTGTTCCTCAGTCTGTGTTGTTCACCATTTCCCCTAGATGAGTGACATTATATCCTACTGGAAATATACTTATAAGAATAAACAATGAGACAAGCAATAATCGTTATGCTGAAAGGCATATGAATCTTTACTCCATCAATATGCACCGTGAAATGGAATGAACCAAGGGCTGTTGTGTTCACACGTTTGATTGTTGATTTAATTTTTAAGTCTATTCCCACTTGGAAGCAATGTGACTCTTTTCTTTCTCTGACTTAACAGTTGAGTCATGAGTTAGTTCCCTCTGGTCTCCTCGGGTCCCACCAGAGAAGGCACAGAGCACCCAGGGCAAAACTCCCGTAGATGATGGTCTGTTCTGCCTCTTCTCTTTGAAGCAGATGGCAGCCACGGAGAGCTGTCTCAGCCCACCCTCACCATCCAGACCCACCCCTACCGGGCCTGCGACCCCATGGAGATGAGCTACCCCCGGGACCAGTTCCAGCCGGCCATCCGCGTGGCTGATCTGCTGCAGCACATCACCCAGATGAAGAGAGGCCAGGGCTACGGGTTCAAGGAGGAATACGAGGTAAGGGACCGCCTATGCAGACACTCCCAGATGGGTGCAGAAGCTTCTGGGGTTACCGCTTTGCTACTAAAAGTATGATCTCTGAACCCATAGCATCAGCGTCACCTGGGAGCCTTTTGGCAATGCACCATCTCTGGCCCCACCCAGATTTACTGAATCTTCCCCATTTTAACAGAACCTCAGTGACTTGTATACCCTTTACATTTGAGAAGCACCAACAAAGACCCTTAAACCTTCTTTTCCCCTTCCTCTCTCTCTCTCTCTCTCTCTCTCCCTTCTTCTTTTTCTTCTCTCTCTCTTCTTCTTCCCCTTCCCCTTCCCCTTCCCCTTCCCCTTCCCTTTCCCCTTCCTCTTCTTCTTCCCCTTCTTCTTCTTCTTCTTCTTCTTCTTCTTCTTCTTCTTCTTCTTCTTCTTCTTCTTCTTCTTCTTCTTCTTCTTCTTCTTCTTTTTCTTCTCTATCTCTTCTTTTTCCTCTCTCTCTCTCTCTCTCTCTCTCTCTCTCTCTCTCTCTCTCTCTCTCTCTATCTCTCTCTCTCTTCCTTTTATTGCTCAGTTATCTCCAAAGTTTCTGCACTTTGGAGTCACAGCTTCGCTCAGTATGCAGCTCCAATGGCTCAGCCCCCAGCCCCCATGTTGAGGGAAGCCAGCAGGTCTGGGAGGTTTGCTTATTCCTAGGCTCCTCTTGCCTCATTCCAACATTTCCATTGTGTTCTCAGTGCCCCCAGGTCAATACCTCATCTCCCGTGCCTCTGTCCCTTCTCTGTACTTTCTTCTCACCTCTGCATGGGACACCCCTTTCCTTATCCCCAAAGCATCTCTAACCCTAGGGTTTTATGAGGGGCGGTTGCTACTGAGGTTTGGGTGGTAACGGGGCCAGGGGTGGTGGCTTGTAGCAAAGCACAAGAAGTACCTGAATAAAAGCAGTCCTACGGTTCTCATCTCCTCACAGGTCTCTACACCCACTGCCTTTCCCAAAAGTTCTTTTTAGTGTCCTCAACACTCCCATCTTTCCCTTCTCCCAGTAACCAGGAAAAGGCCTCCACACCCTTTCCTTTCTGAGGCAGAACAATTTCGCTTTCCTTGACTCACTCCTTTTATTTCAAAGCTTGCCTATTAGGCAACCCTCTTACAACTAAAAAAAAAAAAAAGTGAAATAAAATTGAAGGGAAATGCATTAAGATGCTTTCCTGAACTAAAGAGCACCTCACTCCCCCAGAGGAGCCCCGCAACCCTCCACTCCCAAGTGGGAATGCATTTGCAGCCAGCTTTGGAATTTCCTTTTTTCACTTTTCCTTTTCTCTCTCCCTCTCCTCCCTCCCAAAATATCTTGGAAGCACCTACTGTGTGCTAAGTTCTGAGTTACATGAGCTAGTTTTTTTTTTTTTGTGGCTCTTTTTCCACACGCAGCATGTGCCCCCATTATTCTCAGTTCAGTTTCATGTGTACGATGAGAAGGCATGAACTCAGATTCTACCTAGTTGGAATTCTGGATCATGCAGACTAAGTTTATTTCTTAGACTATATTCTGAGAAGGAGCAGACCAAGCAATGATTGCAGAAGCTCTGTGAGGTCATGAAACTGTGCTCTGAGGCAGCCGGGCTCCCGTGCAACACATTGTGTGATCTTAGCATCTCATCTTGTCACCTGAGCATTAAAATTCCTTGTTGGCTGAGTGAGAAGTTTAGATAAGATGACTTCTGAGGGCCTATCTGGTCCTAAACCTTTATGAGAGTGTAAAATGTGGTGGCAAGGGGCATGTTGGACACATTTATGAGAGCAGCTGTGTTTGTGTCAATGCACATGAGTGATTACCGACCCATTTAGGAGAACAGGCAGTTCATTGCAAATATGGTCAAAGGAAAACAGCATTTTTCATATGCTGCCTGCAAATTTTTGGAGGATGTCAGGATAAGAGTTAAAGGAGATAGTCTCATTACCTCCCACGCCTGGGCCTTACCTCCTAGGGCATTGGCTGAATGGTCTCAAGCTCTTAAAGTATGAGAGATGGTGTGTGTGTGTGTGGGTGTGTGTGTATGTGTGTGTCTGTCTGTCTGTCTGTCTCCTTATCCACACCTATATAGATCCATTGAATGAATGTTCAGGAAAGGGTGTGTTGTTTGCAAAGGTATATTCAATATCATGGTAGTTTACTATGTCAGTCATAATATTTACTTTGCTTTAAAGTTTTAAATAACACAAGGGGAGCAGTGCGACATCAAAAAGGGTGACAAGTAGTCAAAGCCTGAAACACTGTTGTCAGACAGACAGACACACACATACACACACACCCACTTAGGATCTAAAGTTTGGAAACAAAAACATTTGACTACTTTGGTGCATTGCCATCCAGATTGATATCTCTTTTCAAAGTGTCCATCCCTGTATGGTTGATTAAAAAAGAAATGGGGGGGGAGCTTTTTGCACTTTTTAAACATTTTTAAATAAACAGTACAAAATATTTCTCACAGTTCTAGAGGCAGGGAAGTCCAAGATCAAGGTGTCAGCAGATTCAGTGTCTGGTGGGAGCCCACTTTCTGGTTCACAGATGCCCATCTTCTCACTGTGTCCTCACATGGCAAAAGGTGAGGGATCTCTGTGGATCACTTTTATGAGGGCACCAATCCCATTCCTGAGGGCCCCACCCTTATGATCTACGTACCTCCCAAAGGCCTCCTCTCCTAATACCATCACGTTGTGGGTCAAGTTTCAACATCTGACAATGGGGGACACACATCACATAGACAAATACTCAGATGACAGCACATTTCCATAACCATGACACAGTGATAAAAGTGAGGCAATGTAACCGTGATACAGTGTCTGTTTGTTTGTGCATTTGTTTTCCCCAAACTTTCTGGCATGGAAGTAAACTGCCTTTATAATGAAAAAGAAAAATAATACATGTTGTCCCATCATTTGGAAATATCACTAACTAGATTAGCCTTGACCTCAATTAGTTCCAAATTATATTAACCAGTTAGCTGGAATGCTTAGCTTCTAGTTAACAGCACTTTCCGATTAACTGGAGGCTAATTGAAAAACATTGCTGAATGGGAGTCTCCATGGTGTGCCAGTTCCCTCTCCTAGATTCTCGCCAGGTATGGCTTTGATCATCAGGCCCCTGTGATGCCTGGAGTCTACATGCTGCACAGGAGTCCCGGCACTGCTGGAAGACTGTGTTCTATAAGACAACATGCCTGGGTGTCGATCCCACTTTCAAACAGCATGCCATGTGCTTTGTTTACGGCCTGTCACTCTCCTACACTGCTCAGTGTGTTGGTTTTTCATACCAACGAGCAGGCTTGACAAGTTGACATAGAAAGAACCTCTATGCAATAAGGAAGCTATGTCTTCTAAAATTCAGTTCAGTCATACAATCACAAAGTTATTCATTAAATTTTTACTGAGTATTTACTATTCCTAAGGTCTGGTCCAGATATTTTAGATATGACAGTGAACAAAACAGACAAAGCTCTGAAGCTTTTGTTCCATCAGGGGAAACAGGAAATAGCAGTAGACTTAAAACTAAGTTATTGTACAGTCACTTAATGGGATGTGTTTATAAATAATGCCAGGTGCTAGTGACACATACTGTTTACTATGTTATAAACTACCCTAAATCTTAGTGGCATAAAACAACTAATTTACTGTGCCCACTGATTCTGTGAGTCAGGATTTAGACAGGGCACAGGGGGAATAGTTGTGTCTGCTTCATGATATCTGAAGCCTGGACTTGGAAGGCTCTAAGGCTTGGGGGCTGGAAACATCCACAACGGTCTTTACTTCATGTCTGGTGATTGATGCAAACTTCCAGATGAGATCTCAGCTGGGATTGTCAGCTAGAACACCTACACATGGCCTCTTCAGGTGGACTGGGCTTCCTAACAACATGGTTGCCTCAGGATAATGAACGTCTTACATGGCTGCTCCTAGATCCAAAAGTGAGTTTCATAGCTAACAAGGTATTAATAGAAAGTAATCACCCTTTGTGACCTAGACTTGGACATCACAGCATCACTACTACCACATGCTATTGGTTATAAGCAAGTAATAACTGTATATGTTCTAGGGAAGGGAAAGTAAATCTCTCTTTCTCTCTCTCTCTCTCTCTCTCTCTCTCTCTCTCTCTCTCTCTCTCTCTCTCTGTGTGTGTGTGTGTGTGTGTGTGTGTGTGTGTGTGTCCATAGGTGGGTGGAGGAGGCATTGCAAGATTCTAAGAGAGGATGCAGAACTTGGAGGTATTAGAAAATACAATCCTTGGATGATACAATATTTCATAGATGGGGGAGGAAATAGTAGAACAAGGAAGGGAGATGGGGTATCCTGGGGACATGGAGTGAAGGAGGGGGCTCCAATATTAAATAGGGAAGAAGGATAGTCCTTAATCAGAAGATGACATTTGAGCAGAGACATGATGGAAGAGAGTTCCAGATAAGAAAGTAATATATCTGGCATGTACAAGGAGGCTAAGGTTGTCATGAGTAAGTGAACAAAGAGCAAAACTAATAGAAGATGCTATTGGAGAAATAAAGAGGGTTGACCACATAATGCCTTTATGCCATTATAGGACTTTAGCTTTTACTCTTAATGAAATGACAGCCACTAGAGTTTTGAGAAGACACCTGATAACAATCTGACATTGTTTGAAAGACTCATTCTTGCTACTACCTTGAGAATAGACAACAGGAGGCAAGAGTAAAAGCAGGGAGACCAGTAAAGAGGCCACAGCAGAAACTCAGGTGAGAGACAACAGTGACTCAAGCCAGGTGTGGCAGTGGAGGTGGTGAGAAGTGATTGAATTCTAAATATATTTTCAGCATAGAGCCCATAGGATTTTCTAACAGCTCAAATATGGCATGTGAGAGAAAGGAATCAAGGGTGACTCCAAGGTTATTACTACTTGAGCCCCTGGAAAATGGAGTGGCCACCAATGGACATGGGGAAGCTGCAGGTAGAGAAGACCTGGGGACAATGGAGCGATTGTGGGTTTGATTTTAAAC